CTTTGGATGGATGCTCCACCACATTGGCCTTAGCAACAGCTACTTTCTTCTCGCGAGTGAGACCCTCTTCACGGATCCGGAGACGAACAAGCAACTGTTCTAAAGTCATTTCTTTCCGTTTGAGCTTGAGATAGCTTCGGAACTCATCCCAAGCTGGCGGGAGCACATGAATAATCGCCGCCACTTGGAATGCCTCACTAACTCCCATTCCCTCGTCAGTGCACTCATTAGAAATGAGAATCAATTCTTCAGCTTGACTGACCACGGGTTTGGAATCCACCATCTTAAAATCCAAGACCTTACCGACAACGAATTTCTTCGCACCGGCGCCCTCGGCCTGGTATTTGTTGGACAGTGTAGTCCATAACTCCTTTGCGGATGCAGCCCTGCTATAAACAGCATATATGGCATCGCTCAAGCAATTCAGGATAAGATTAAGGCACGTATAGTTATTCGCTATCCATGCCTCTTTAGCCTGAACTGTTGGCTCGTCCGCGTTCTCCCCCACAATAGGGGGATCCTCCCTCAAGTACCTCGCAAGGTTGAGGGTGGTCAGCCAAAATAACATCCTTTGCTGCCATATTTTAAAGCCAACACTTGTGAACTTTGCCGGTTCTTTGACAGAGTTTGCAGGCAGCATGACAGTAGGATGTCCGACCGGTGCAGATGTGAAGACACCCGTGTTCGGTCCAAGTGAGGGAATGACCGGTATGGCCGAAGCCATGTTCGGTTCGAGTGGGGTGACCATTGCGGCCGTAGCCGCGGTTGGTCCAATAACCGAGGTAACCGGAGCGGACCCCATAGTCGCGCTCGTTCCAACGAAGGTGGTGATCGGAGTGGACCCCATGGCCGCACTCGATCCGAAAGGAATGTTGATCGGAGTGGTCTGCCCAACAGAGCCACCCACTCCAGCCGAAACGTTCACAACCGAAGTCTCGGAACTACTCCCGTTTCCGGTGTGAGCGTCAAAACCAAATCCGTCCATACCCGCCATTGCGCACGGATATCACTACTACCTTAAGATTGTTAGAATTCTCGTACGGATTACAACGGACGGGGAAGATGAACGGCCCCGGAAAATAAAAATAAATAAAATTCTGAATTTATAATTTATTCAGAATATTACAAAATAAACAAAGCTGAAAATAAATTGCTATATCTTCAAACAGCCTTGCTGTACGGGGGCATTAAGGACTGGACAGCGAGGACGTTAAGCACTGGACAGCGAGGTCTTTAAGCACTGGACAGCGAGGTCTTTAAGCACTGGACAGTGAGGTCTTTAAACACTGGACAGCGAGGGATTCAAGGACGTTATGCACAGGGCTGCGAGGACATTATGCACTGGGCTGCGAGGACATTATGCACTAGGACAGAATGCAGCGAGGTCTTTATGAACTGAACCTGCAAAACACAACACCGTGGAAGGACAGCGGAGTCGCCGGAGCTGTCCTTAAGGTAGTAGTGCCCGCCTACCGTACCGGAAAACGTGGGCACTCTC